CAAGGCACTTAAGCTCCCTAAGCATTATAAAGACTTGTGTATGATTACTGTGGTCGAATTGAAGGGAATAGAGAAGAGTCAGTATGTAAATTATAGTGATCCAGATGGAACAACTAAGTTAGAGGAGGTGGTGTTTGCAGCTGAGCGTGTAAAGATGATTGAGAAAAGAGCCAGAGATGAAAGAGGAGACCTTCCGAGAGCGTGCAAAAAGGCTAGACTTCATGGGAGAAAGAAGAAGAGAAAGCGCTCAACTTGAGCAAAGTAGCAGAGTCGTGTCACGACTATAAATAAGGCGCTTGTTGGGAGGCAATCCAACATGTATATCTTTCATTTATTGATTATTTTTTAGTGTCAAGTTTTGTATTATTTTTTTTTTGCAGAGTAGGGGAAGTCTGAGTACCCAAAGTTGAAGCCGGAGAGCATGTTTGAGCTTAAGTGTGGGGTCGTCCCGGCCCTTAATATTGAGGATCATGTTCGAGCTCGGCCCGAGAGGGTCTCAGGGTGTATTTCTTACCCCTTTTTAGGATCATGCATCGAGGACTATGCATAATATAAGTGTGGGGTGGGGAAACTAATTTCTGAAGTGTAATTGTATAAAAAAAATTATTAGTTAAGAAACGAAAAAAAAATAGAAAAAAGCTCGGACTTTTCCCAATGATGGATCTGTTGGACAATTTTCTTGAGGGATAAAGTCTGACTAAAATACCAAAAAGATTTTTTTTAGGATAGTTAGGTAGTATCCCTTGATTTTTCTTTGGGCGCCGGTTCTTTTCCAAGGGTGTAGCTCGAACCGGGTACTTTATTTTTTTAGGAATAGTTATGAAGAAACTAAGTCGCTCTGAGATACTCATTGACATGGTTGATGCTGGCACATTAGGCTAGGACATACATTATGTTTTCCTGTGTATTTGGTTTGAATTGTGAAGCCTAAGTAGAGTAAATAGCCTATTTTGTGACGCCTTGTCTCAGTCGTTTGACTCGTATACCACATAGTGCAATATTGCTTAAATTTCTCAATTATGTGTGCTTGCTTGACATGAGAGTTGAACAGAACCGTCTTGATTGAGTCATGTGCAATGTGTGTGTGAGGATTTCTGATTTTCTGTGCTATCCTGTGTAGTCTATAACTTTCCCCGTGTGTTAATTGAAGCGAAATTGTAAGTTGTGCTAATCTAGGAGATGACGTAGGCATTTTCTTGCTTGATCATGGATGTGCTTGTGACATAAAAATAAAATTTTCTGTTGCTAGCTCCTTTGAGCCTATAGGCCTTTCTTTTGGCACCCACATTACAAGTCATACCTCTATTTTGTTCTTAATTGGATATTGATTGAACCTTTACCTCCTAAGGCACTTAGTCGCTAAAAGAAGTACGGTTAGAGATTGGGGAGTAGCTTTTGATTGGAACCACGGAAGGGCGCGTTGGTGCACTAAAGTTGAAATCAAAAGACACTAGCCAATGAACCTTAATGTATGGTGTTTGTGAAAAGAAAAAATATTGCAAGAAAAAAAAAATGATAGTTCAAATAATGTAGAAAAACACATACACCTCCAATTCTTATTGATTTGTGCTAGTGGGATTATAGAAGTGCTTAATTGAAAAGAGGGTTATGTTGTATATGGTGTGTGACAAGTGAATTGGTTTAGAAGAATATGTGCTTGAATTGTGAATGTAGTGTATTAAAGTGCTTAGGAGGGTTAGTCACTATCTCTAAATGTATCATACCCGCCCCTTAGCCTACATTACAACCTTAAAGTCCTAATTGATCCTAGATATGACTAGCTTAAATTAGTAGAAATATACACTACGGGCAAGCTTATGGTACGACCACGGGATGCATATGAACTCTTTGTGAGAGTGAGTGAATTTGGTTCAATTGTGTGATGTCCTTAAATTATGTTCAAAAGCATATTTGAATGTGTGGACTAGTCTATATTGACTCTTTTGTTTGTTGGTGATGGAACATGATCTCATGAATGATTGGTAATGTTGTAAATTTTCTTGTTAGGTAAGTGCATGAATTGAGGGTACTTAGTAGTTACAAGTCGGTTTTTGAGGTTGCGTGGTGACAAATATGCTGTTGGAATTGATTGAATTGAAGGGTTATACTTGGTCATGCTTAAACGGGAAGAATGTGAATTTTTGTGTGTTCATGTTTGTGTGTCGGTATTGATCATAGTCAAGGGTATAGTGTATGGTTAAAAGTTAAAGTGCTCCTCTATAATTGATACTTGTACATAGTTGGAGGGTAGTAGATTGTCCCATTGCTCGAGGACGAGCAAGAGTCTAAGTGTGGGATGTTGATGTTTTGCTTAAAGCATATATATATTTTTATATATATTGCCTCATATTTTACTTTTGTTTCGTGAATTTGGGATGTTAAATGCTATGATTTATATTAATTTAAAGTGTTTTTATGTGTATGAATGATTCGGGAGCAATTGGGGATGAAACGCGCAAGGTTTGAGCCAAAACGAACGAAACTGGGAAACTTGTGAATTTGGGTGCCACCCTATGGCGCCTAGCCCTACCTGTTGCGCCAAAAATAGTAGCTAAAAATATTGGAGCGCCATGGAGGGCGCCTGGCGCTAGCAGGGCGCTAATGACGTGAATTTTCTCCAATTTCACATGGGACAAGGTTATTTCGGCCCTAGACCTACCCAACACGTATAAAAGCAAGACTAAACCTATTTTTGAGGGAAGAGACGCACTTTGGACGAAAAAAATACACACAAGAAATATCCGGGAGCAAGAACATCTCAGTTTTCTTCATCTTTTCTAGTATTTTCAATTATTCAAAACTTATGCAATTGTTTGATTATATCATGAGTAGCTAAACACCCATTGTTCTGGGGTTGTGATTTAGCCATGAATATTTTTGTTTGATATTAGTTTGACCTTGATTACAATTTATCAATATATGATTGTTTCTTCAATTCTATGTTTAATTGCTTAATTGTCTGGCTAACAGTTAGGTTCTATTTACTATCTATGCTATGCTTGGGAAAACCGTGTTTAGATTAGAGAAGAATTAAAGAGAGCATGATCTTAACCCTTAGGGGGAGCGAATTTGTGGTTAGGATAAGAATATACCTAGTCACCGTGCTTAATTAAATATCGTAATCTTAATGTGTTCTTAATAGATTGATTTCATAGAAATATATGCGTTAATCTATTGAGAATAGGTGAGTAGTACTTCGGGAGAAGGCTATGAGAGCATTTATCGATTAATTAGCAACCATGAGTGACTTATATGAAAGAGAGAGTTAATTAGAACACAATACGAATGGTGAATCGATCACAACCCTGGAATACTTGTCTCTACTGAATACACAACAATCAACTCGTCACTTGATAATTTAGTTACTATTTAGAATCGTAGTATAATATAATCATATTAGTGGACTTTGATTTTAGCTGGATTGAATAACAATTTTAGTGATTTAGTGAGTAGTTTATACAAGTCTCTGTGGGTTCGACACTCAACTTATCATTATATTACTTGTCGACCACGTATACTTGCGTGTGCGTTTGAGAGCAACAATATACATTAGTGCCCGTTTGGACATAAAATTTGATGGAAGATTTTTTCAACAAAATTTCACTTTTTTCGAAATCAGGGTTTGTTCATAAAATTTTCAATTTTCACTTGAAGATGCATTTTAGAAATTTTCGAAAATTTGAAAAACTGCAAAAAACTAATTTTCAAAATTTACTCAAATCACTCACAAAACTTCAAAAACAATCCAAACTGAATTTTATGTCCAAACACAACTCTAAATTTCAAATACCATTTTCACTTGAAAAATATTTTCACCATTCTTTTTGAATTTTACAATTCTTATGTCCAAACGCCTACTAAATCCTTAAAATTTGTGCCAAAATAATACTAGAAGCCAAGAAGAAGAAAGTCTTGGACACGTAATGGATTTTTGAAGTATTATTTCTATATCTCTATGACCAAATCTAGCTACATTAGTATTACTCGTTAAATGGTTGATTCAATGTGATAGATTTGTCTTAAAAAACAAAAATTTCTGATCCGGAAGAGATAATATCAATCATTGAGCCGCACCCAAAATTTTGAGTTTTCCTTCGATAGCATGAAAAAATGAGTATCAGTCAACATGGGCACCACTACTTGCCTTTATCACTTTGCTTTATCCTTCTTAGTCAATCTTTTAAGGAGGGCAGAAAGGAGAAACAATATTAAATTTATTACGCAACTTGCAATTTGCAAAGATAATTCTTGGCATTTAATAGACAGTGACAATTTTTCAACTTACTTTAAGATAATTATGTTTGATACAAAATCCGGGAGCTGTAGTACTGCTGAAATTAAGCACATGGTTTGAATATCATATTTAAGTTATATCCATCGAAAGTATAAAGGCTTTTTATGTAATCTGTGAAGCTTAACCTATTATAACTTGTCGCTCTTTCCGTTTTAATTTATGTGAACTTATTTAATTAGACACAAAATTTAAACAAAAAATACTTTTGAAATTTATAGTCTTAAACAAGTCAAAAAGGGGTCAAGAATATTTGTGTAGTTATAAAAACTTCTCATTAAAGGTAAAATTGAAAGTTTAAGCTAAATTGTTTTCAAATTTAGAAAGGGGTTATTCTTTTTGGAACAGACTAAAAAGGAAATATGTTCACATAAATTGGAATGGAGAGAGTAGTTATTATTTTTATTATGTTGTTAATCAATACTTGGAGCAACGGTAAAGTTGTCTTCGTATAACCTACATGTTATGGGTTTGAGCCGTGAAAGCAGTCACTAATGCTTGCATTATATGATAATCTATTTACATCACACCCCTTGATCGTGCGGTTCTTTCCCGGACCCTAACGCGAGATGAGTTGTACCAAGCTGTCCTTTTTCTAATTAATATTTATCATGAATGTTTGCTTAAAGTTATTTTATTAATGACTTGATTATATAAATATTTTTTGCATTATCAATACATTTAACTTAAAGTACTCTTGAATGGCTGAGGCAAGAAGATGAGGTCTATATAAAGGCAGCAGCAAAAGCATACTTGATATGCTAACAGAGAAACCAGTGTTTTCTTTTTGTCAATGCACACTTACAATTTCTAGCATAACAAAAATAAAGGGGTCATCCATTTTCCACAGTCATGGCAGCTTGTCAAGTGGATGAAAATGGATATGATGATGGATATACAAAAGATGGAACAGTGGATCTCAAAGGCAATCCTGTTCTTCGATCCAAGAGAGGTGGATGGAAAGCTTGTTCCTTCATTGTTGGTATGGTATCTTACCTCCCTCTCTCCCCC